TCTGAGACCAGGCACGGGGACAGCAGACACAGACAGTGCACCTGAGGGACACGGCAGGACACCGCGCTGCTTACCGATTCAGAGTGTTGGCTGTCGGTTAGCGGCTCAGCGCCGGCCTCCAGACCTCTGTCGCCTTCACCACTGACAGGCTCTAGGCTGCTCACATCCTGATTGGGAAGAGAAGACAGGTGTCGGGCTTCTGGGCCTGACCTGCTGCCACACTCAGCGCCTGGCTGAGCATGGCCCCTGCTCTGTTCCCGGATGCGATGGCCACTGACGTCAGTCCTCACAATCTCGTCAGGAACTGGTACTTGGGAAGGGGCTTTGTGGCTCTGGTCAGTAAGGTAAGAAGAAAGCTTGTGGGAAAGCAATTCTTTTACCTTAAAGTAGCCACTGAGGCCATATCCCATATCCCACTGTAGCCTGAAGACAGGGAGCCCGAGCTGCTGTCCCCAGAAACGAGGGAACCAGCCCCAGGAGGGAGCAGACAAACTTGGAGCCCAACCCAGAGCTCGGCAGTGAGCTACACAGCTAAGTTGGACAGCATGCAGCAGAGAGGGATGTGCTGTGTGGAGCCAACACGGGAGGGTAGGACAGAACTGAGGCTGCAGGAGAACCACGAGAGCCAGCCTCGGAAGGACAGCCACGCCCCCCTCCCCCCACAGCAGGTGAAGCGTGTGCCGTGGTGTCGGGACACAGCCTTCTTGCCCCCAGCCCTGGATCCACCCACATGCCTTTGGTGCAAACTGCCTCCCTACTGGATCAGCATCAGCGCAGTGACCTCACTGTGACCCCACAGGCTGAGTGCTGTGTGACCCATGCTGCACCATGCTGTGACCTTGAATGTGAGTCACCCCTGACAGAGAACCTTGGTGGCACCCTCCCGGACATCCAGGAGCTGTTCTCCTCTCTGTCTTTCTTTCTTTCTTTCTTTCTTTCTTTTTTTTTTTTTTTTGCAGAACCAGGGATTGAACTCAGGCCCTTGTGCTTGCCAGGGAAGTGCTTATTCTACTGAGCCATCTCCGTGGCCCCTCTCCATGTTTCCAATAAGCTCTCTTAACTTCTTCCTCTGGCCTGGGACTTCGTTGCTCCACTTCTAATACCATGAACTCTGACAGCTGAAGCCACCAGTGGGGAATCAGCTTCCTGGGGCACCACCTCCTAATGACAGTGTCCCAGTAGCTGCATCCCACAGCTCGTTCTCCACCCCCCCATCTCTCTCAGTCCTGCAGATGGAACCCAGGGTGGTCAGCCACCCTGTTACCTCCCAGCACCTGTCAATAGGGAGACAGGGTCTCAGTGCTGCACAGGTTGGCCTCAAACTTGCAGTCCTCCTGCCTCGGCCTCCCGAGCAGCTTGCATTACAGGTGTGCTCCACCCCTCTGAGCTACTCTCCTAACTGCATCATTTCTCCTTGCTCCTGGGTCACGCCCTCGTCTGTCCCCTCAAAGGGTGCCATGGCCCCAGAAATCTGTGCTTCTGGTTACTAGGACTCCAGGAAGGAGGGCGGGTCACGTCTGGATGGAGTGGGGCCTGCACGGGGGGTGCACGGGCAGCAGAAAGCCTCTGTGAAACTGAATGTCGAGTCCTGCTGGGCACAGAGCCAGGCTTGGAGGACAACGGCCGTGGTCGCTAGCAGGGCAGAGCCGGGTCTGCAGTAGGACTCCTGGTTCTCTTCCAAAACTTCCTGGTGGCTTGGGGACCATGCGGCTGGCACCACAAAGATGCAGCTGGCATGATGAGTCTCATACCACCTGCCCAAGCAGCCCAGCCGGCCTGGGGACAGTCTCACTGCCTCCCACAGGAAGCAGGACATTGCCACTCTGTCCTTCCTCTGCTTCACCTTCTTCACAGTCCGCTTGCCAGCGGCTTTCCGCAGTGGGGGCCTCGCCAAGGCTTCCGTAGAGGGTGTCACTGCTGACTGGTGCGTGTCCTCACTCCAGACCAGGTGGGTGTGAGCGTGCACACTGCACCTGTGGATCCAGACGCCACCAGGCAAGGGACGCTGAGAGCAGCACCTGCACCTCCCTCATATAGCGAAAGTTTTCTCATGTGTAAAATATACCTTCTGCTGGGGTGATTTCACCATCCCTGTATTCCCCAAGTGCAATTCCCTTTTCAAAAACACACAGTGACTGGCTGCTCTCACGGCCGCCCCAATCCACAAGCACTGCCTTCTGAGAGGCCACACTAACTGGAGGCGACGAATCGGATTTCTCCTCATCCCCACGCAGGAGCGAGGGCATCAGGCTGCTCCCTACTCCAGGAAGGTGGTGCGACTGAAGGTGACGTGGGCACTGTGCTACTGCCGCTCCCTGCAGCAGCCTGCCACCTCGCTGGGCTCGCAAAGGGCACGGGCGTGGGTCAAGGGAAAACGCAGGCCATCGCTTGTGTCTGAGCGAAGAGTCTCCCAGTGGCTCCGGCTTCCTCTCCAGGACTGGGCTGGATCTTAGCTCCACCTAAGCCCAAAGCGCTCTCATCACGTCCTGCTGTTTAAAACGCCATCGGCAGCCCACGAAAGCAGTCAAGGTTCCTCAGGGGCCCCAGGGCCTCTCATTTGAGCCTCCTCTGTTTTGAATTTTCATTCTATTCTATTCTATTCTATTCTATTCTATTCTATTCTATTCTATTCTATTATTTATTTTAATGAGCAGAACATATTTATTGAGTGAAAGAAAGCTCCTGTCCCAGAGGGACAGGAGGGGGTCCGAGTGGGCAGTCCCCGGATATTACTTCCTTTCATGAGAGAACTTCCTGACACTCTTCTCCCCGCCACACTGGTTTTGGTTGTGTGTGCACGTATGATAGGCCCAGTCTTGCTATACACCCGTTTTGCAGTGCAATCCCTCTACCAGACAGCAGGGTCCCCAGAGGTTCAGTGTCCTCCTGCCCTGCCCTCCCCTAACGCTCTACTGCACTCTCAAGGGCGACACAGACAGCACATCTTCCTGTCACTGTACAACTCTAGCTCTCTGAGAGGGAGCCCTGGGCAAGCGATCCCCTTTTGTTGCTATCAGGGATTGAACTCAGAATTGTGCCTGCAGGCAGGTGCCGGTGCTGCTGCGCTCTCCCTGCCCCCTTGTGAGCAACCCTGCACATTCACAGAGGAGACCCTCGGTGAGCAGCAGCAGATGCAACGTGGAGCAATTACGCCCCACAGGAGCGCGCACGTGAGACTCGGGAGCCAGCACACAAGGGACCGAAAAGCCAAGGCCTGGCTCCTGGCTTGCTTGGTCCCATGGGGCCTGTGGGTGGGGGAAGTGTGGTGTCCCCGAGAAGCCACTTGGAGACGGAGGCCCAGTGGCATCACACGCGGGACTAAGGACAGGGAAGGACTTTAAGTGAGGGAAGGGCACCATGAAGCCCTGCAGCGCGAGGCCTACCTGAGGGACAGTGTGTGTGCGCACACGCGTGATCAACAGCTACACCAGCTGTACCAGGGCTTCATTACACGTGACTGAGGAGAGAAGGCTGACTCGTGGTTGTGAAGGTGAACACAAAGCCTTCATTTGTTAATTTTAACCTCCAAGGAAGATCTGATATGATAGGAATGAAATTTAGCACAGCCATTATGGAAACCAGTGTGCAAGACATTCCAAGAATTAACGATAGAGCCACCACATGCTCCAGCCTGCTCTCACTGGATGTGTGTCCCAAGGAAAGAAAGCAGGGTGCTGACCATGTGGCTGGACTCCCACACGCACCCCCGTGTTATTCCTAGCAGCCAAGACGTGGCATTGCCCCACACGTCTACCACTGGACCACTGGATACAGAAAACATGGTATACACGTGCAGTCCAATCCAGACAGGGAGAGAAGCCCGCCCATGTGAGGCCACTGAGTCAAGCCAGGGACCTGGCCTCATGCGAGAGTGAGACTGGAGGGCTCACTCCGAGAAGCAGGTGGTTGAAGGGGGTCGCTAGGGTCCTGGTGGGCCTAAGTGTGGGGTGGAGGGTGGTGGTCCAAGGACGCAGAGCTCCAGCTCACGGGAGGAAGCTCACGGGAGCTACTGCACAAAATGACAGCTGGTCAGTTAGGACTGCATTCTTTTTTTTTTTTTTTTTTTATGAGAGAGAGAGAGAGAGAGAGAGAGAGTGGTGTGTGTGTGTGGCCAGCTCAGCCCACCAGGGGGCGGGGCTGGCTGGCATGTGGTGCTGGGGGATTGAACCGCGGTCCCTGATGCTTTGCTAAGCTTGCTCCAAGTAGGTGCTTTAGACCACTGAGCCATCTCTCAAGCCCAGGACTGCATTCTTGAAAATAAGGGATTTCCAGTGTTTTCATCACACAAAAAGATAAGTAGGAGAGGTGGTACATATGTTACTAAATTGATTTAGTCGCTGCATAATGCATGCAAATTTCAAGCCACTGTGTTGTACCTGATAATATATGCAATTTTTATTTGTCAATTTAACAAATTAAAAAAAGGAAGCCATCCTGTTTTGTATGTAGCCCTGAAAATGGAAGACACTGGAGGCCTAGTGCTCAGCAGGGAATGACAATGACCAGTGGGACCACAGCGAGGCACTCCTCCTGGGCTTGGGGACAGCACTGAGCATTTTATAAATGGGGCCTAGTCCTGCCACAGATCCACAGTTAGTGATTCTCAGCACTGGCCGAGCTCAGGCTCCACAGCCGGGATGGCAGGAGAAGGTGAGATCTTGCCCGTGCTCTGAGTCATTGACCGGATGGTGCTGCAGCCGCCAGGAGCGCTGTGTGGGGACATGGATAATCCCAGCGGAGATGCCTTTCCCTACATGCTGGGCCTGACCATCATGCAACCTCGTGACACAGGCAGGTGAGGCTGCACCCTTGGCTTGGAAGCCAGAGAGCAGTGCAGGAACCAGGCTTCCGAGGCCCTGTCCCTCAGGTGCCTGGCCGGGCCCGAGGACTCCAGCCGAAGGCCTCTAGCCCACGTTCTGCTGCACTCTAAACGCTGCAGCGCTCCACTGCATGAAGCAGCTTGTCCTGTGCTCTGTCTTGCTGACCTTCTTCTTGTTGCTGGAACAAAATACCCAACACCAAAGTCAAGGAAGGAAAGGTTTATTTAGCTCACAGTGTGTGGAGGCTTCAGCCCGTAATCAGCTGGCTCCAAGGCAGAGGCACGGGGCAACAGTGCATGGTGGCGGAAGACAGCAAAAGCAGCCAGAGCAAAAAGGGGCAGGGAGCAAGCCTCTTGTCGCCCGCTGTGCCACCAGCAGCTCGCTCCCCAGGGGTGGAGCACTCGGAGCATCTCCCTGGCTCCCTCTTGCACAGACTGAGGTATTCACAAGTGAAGGCCCTGGGCCCTGCTGGGTCAAGCTGGAAGCGCTGTTTCCTGAGGTGAAGGCATGAAAACAAGAGGTCCAGGGCTGGCCGCTGTCCAAAAGCCCGGCCCCCATGAGTGCCTGAGGCTCTGGGGGGACATCCAGACGCAAGCCACAGCACTATCGCGTTGTCTCGAGCATGCCGACACACCTTGAGAACTCAGTCAGCATGTGCTGAAGAAACGGGCGGCCCGCGTGCAGCCAGTGTGCTCTGGAGCAGGCCCGCTGATCATGACCCGAGACCCGGCGCACTCCACCTGTCTGGCTACGGCTTCACGGCGCTCACAGTCACAGGAACTGTGACTGTGGTACTGGACAGGAACTGTGCTTCACACGCAGTAGGGACAGCAGAGGGAGCAGCGCGGGGAAGCGGCCACTGTGCACCCGAAGCTGTCCCTGGAGCCCTCGGTCGAGCGGACTTGGGTGGTGACATCACAGCGAAGCCTAGAGAAGGCTTCATTACGCTCACTTAACTTAAACGTCCACCGGGGCTTAATCACTGTTGCAGATGATGGGATGCGAATACTGGCACCGCAGGCCGGCTCAGCTCTTTTCAGATGGCAAGATGTGATTCAGAGCAACACCAAGTAATTTCTTGGGCTAGGCTGAGGTCTGAGTAAAGTTTACTTCTTACAGGGGATGGAGTCATCACAGTTGTTCAACTACCACAACTTAAAAACGAGAACAACAGCTGAGGCTGTGGAACTTAAAGATGGAATTAAATACAAGACAGTACCCGGCCACCCTGAGCAAATAGCTCATGTTTCCTGAGCACTTGGGCTGGGGGCCGTGCCAGGCGCCCTCTCCACTGCAGCCCTCACTCCGGGTGACACTGGTGGTGCTTGGGTCCCCAGGGGGAAGCCAGGTGAAGCGCACACCTTCACTTGCTGGTGCAGCTGAGCCTTGAGAGGCCTGTCCCTTCTGCCCAGTAAGGAGGAGGCCTCCGCTTGGGCCTGAGGAGGTGACATGTGGGATGGAGCTGCACACAGTGCACTGGCTCCATTATCCCAGCATGGCGGTGCTGGAGCGCAGGCTCGGGGCCCAGCGAGCACTCTGCCATGACCGCACTCCTGACCCCACCCGTCCAGCGCTGCCCTTTGAGTAGGCAGCAAGCAGCTGGCAGAGCACCGGAGACCCGAGACCCACAATCACTCTGGTCTCCGACTGCAGGTGAGCCCCAAGGCCAGCCCGCGGTGGGCGTGGGCCACAGAACATCCACTCTGCTAGCACAGGTGGGTCAGGAGCGCCAGTACCGACGAGCCAGTTCTCTTCCTCTTTATACAGGCTCTGCGCTTTTGCACTGAGACGAAGTATGAGCGATGAGTGATGAGTTCGCTTCTTATGTGGAGATATTTTGGAGGGTCTGTCCATGGTCCACAATGCTGTACCAGCTTACTCTACAAGGTTTCCCTTTCCCAAAGGATTTAGGTGACACTACAAATATACGAGGATAATTAATAACTAAGCAATAATCCTCCCCCCTGACAGGAGTCTCCTGATGTTGCCCAAGTTGGCCTCAAACTCCTGGGTTCAAAAGATCCTCCAGCCTCAGTCTCCCAAGTAGCTGGGACTACAGGTGGCTGCTACTAACACTGATGACCATGCGCCAGGTACAACTCCTCCCCGTTCCTCCCTCATTGTGTTCTGCAGCTTTGGGTATCCATGATCAACAGACGTCTGAAAACATCAGAGGAAGGGCACAGCCACCTTGAACGGTACCCATTCTGAGGAGCCTGGTGAAGTCCAGGGCTGCCAGCCCTTTCCTGCCTGGGAGAGAAATCACCCCGTGTTCTTTGCTCATATTGTCATTGGTCACTGTCACAGTGCCAGTGCCTTGGCATGGGGTTCAGTACAGTCTTGGCTGAATGGTAGCCCTTGAGCGCATGCAGGTGTCAGGTACTTAACATGAGCACCCTGCGGGGCAGAAACTACCAGGACTGCCTGCACAGGTTTGCGTGGCCACAAGGACCTATTGAGCTCTCTTTCTTTTCTTTCTTTCTCTTCTTCTTCTTCCTCTTCCTCCTCTTCCTCTTCCGCTGCTGCTGTCCTCATTCTCCTTCTTCTTTCTTCCCCTCCTCCTTCTTCTGCAGCTCTCTCATAAGCCCTTCCCTTCTTTCTCCTCCTCCTCCTCCTCTTATTCTTCTCCTTCTCCCTTTCCTTCTCCTCCTCTCTGATAAACCTTTCCTTTCCTTCTCTCCTCCTCTTTCCCCTGCTCTTCCTCTTCTTCCTCCTCCCTTTACCTCCTGCCTCAGCCTCCCAAGTGCTGGGATGACAAGTGTGCACCACCATGCCTGGCTCTATTTTGTTTTGGTTTATTTCTTAGTTTCTCTTTCCCTCCTCACCAGAATGCAAGCTGGACCTCCTCTGTCAGCCTCGTCTGTCTCCTCACAATAGTTTCTCCAGCGTCCAGGCTAGTGTCTGACACACAACTTGTGTGTTGTGCTTTGAACACTCAGGGGTAAGAGATGAGAATGAAAGTGTGCCACATGGCCACAGATTCACGATGCACACAAAGTCCTACACATGTGGGTTTGTAAGGCCAACAAAATATGTGGAGAGATCCTTAACAAAAACACTCAGTAGTAGAGAAAAAATTAACCTTTCTTCTAGCAATTATGTACTATTTAAGTAAAAATAGTAACTATACATTTATTCTTGGAATTAAAATACAATTTGAGAAATAAAGTATGTGAACGAATGAATGGTCCTCAGCCCAGGAGACAAGGTGGTTAGTCAGGGTGATGGCCAAGCCCAGAGCCGCGGAGCTCTAACAAGTACAGGTGGCCCAAATGCAAGCCCCTCCTGGACCTTGTGAGACAAGAAACAGGCGGCTTTCACGCTGGCCCCGGGTTGTGTCCCCAAGAACCCTCATCACGTGCACGCAAATATTCCAAACTCTGACTCACTTCTGGCCCCACGCACCTCAGATAAAGGGATCTCGGCCTGGGTGGCAATCTCTCGTGCCCTCTGTGTCTGTCTGTCTGTCTTGGCCCCTCTGTCTCTTCTATCTGTCTGTCTGTCTCTGCCTCTCTGTTTCTCTCTGTCCCGCCCCTCAGTCTTTGGTCTCCTTTCTGTCCCTGCCTCCTTCTTCCTCTGACAAGTTTTTCCCTCTGTCTCTCTGTCTCTCTGTCTCCTCCCTCCCTCTCTCCTATCTACAATCTTAGACCAGGACTACAGCAATCTTGTCATCCTAGTACTTTCTCCATTAATTGACAAAAGTAACTAATGATACTATGATCACAGGTATTAAAGTGCTCTGAAACCATACAGGGATATCAGTCATAAAACGAATACTTTTCTAGGAACTTCCAAAATGCACAATGCAGCTGAAAATATATGTCTTTTTTCTTTTTTTCTTTTTTTTTTCTTTCCAGAACTGGGGATTGAACTCAGGCCCCTGCGCTTGCTAGGCAAGTGCTTATTCTACTGAGCTATCTCCCCGGCCCCAGGAAATACATGTCTTGAGGAAGTGAGCAGCTCAGAAGACAGTAGTGCCCTGGGCCTAGGCCCCGACAGCTTGGTTTAACGCTGCTTTCTGCTGCTCACTCACGCAAGTGTCTCCAATGTGTTCAGCTCCTGTCACTGTCTGCTGGTTAACAGACACTGTGTTTGGAAATCAGAAACATGGGACTAGGAGAAATGACCACAGCCAACCCGTGCAGGACACTGGCTGCTCTTTCGGAGTGCGCTTACCTCGGGGGAGGACGGGGAGCTGGACGGCAGTGGGGGCACGGCCATCTGGTGGACAGCATCTTCATTTCTGTGAATGGGAAAACATTTGGGATCAGTGCTAGGAAACGTGGTGTTGGCCGGGGCTACCAACGTCGTCCGAGCGCTCCGGTGATAACAGCCACGCAGCACCAGTGAATCAGACATCTAATCAGAGGGCTTCCAAGCACGCAAGCTGCTCAACACAGAGAGAGCCACTGCTTGAGAGCCACTTGGGTACTGCCCCGGGACACAGATAGACAGGGGCAGCAGCCAGCCCTGGGCCAGGGCCAGGACCACTGCAGGGAGTGGAAGGGCATCTTCCCAGCGCTGTGCGGTGGGATTTCCACATAGGCACACGTGACCCACAGGCTCTGGGAACTGGGACGGCCCCAGCCTCCTCACCTGGTGCATGTGGGCTGCGGGGTGTCAAGGACAGGCTCTGTGGGTGTGGGAGAGTCACGGGCACCCCGTGCTGCCCCAGTGCCGAGGGCACCTCTTCAGCGGGGCGATGGACATCTACAGACCCTTGAGTGCCAACTGCTTCCCCAGAATAAAGAGCCCTCCACGGTGCTCTGTGGGCAGGCTCATGGTGGAGAGCTTGTCTAGCTTGTGGCGCCACAAACAAAACACGGCCCCCAAACAAAGTCACTGACTTTGCTGCCCTCGCTCCACGTGTTTGGCGCAGGCAGAGGATCTTCTGCCAATGGGTTGGGCTCTTGGGAGGCCCCATTTCTTCACTTCTTACTGGATGACGACGCCTCTGCCTGCACCACTCGCTCTGCCACTTTGGCACCTCCATCCACGGCCCTCGAATTCAGACTCCGGGCCCCTCCCTGTCTACTCCCACATAACCAGCCTCCTGGTTTTGGAATCTACACACCTAACACTTCCATTGTGTCTCTGCTGGGTGTGCTACAAGGACCTCAAAAGAAGGAAAGGTACAGAACTTTTGCACAGCTTCGGGTCCCAGACGGCCTTGTGGCCACTGGTCCCCAACGGAGTGGACACAGGCAATGCCTGCCTGTGGTCACTCAGGGACTTGGAGCCGTTCCTGAAGCCTCTTTTTGCTCCCAGCTGCACCAAAGACCATCAGCACAGCTCGCTGGATCTACCCTTGAACTGCACGTAAGTCCTTCCGCTCCCATCCCAGCTCCTCGCACCCGCCGTCCCAGCAACCTTCCCCACCGGCCTGCCGCCCCAGCCCTTACAGTCCACAGCTGGTCTAGTCCAGCCTTAGCTTCAGCTCCTGCATCCGGATCAGCCAGCTCTACGGTTCAGGGGAAACCCGCTCATGAGCCGTGGGGCTTTGGGAATCACTTCTCAGGTTCCAGTTGCTACTGGAATGTGGGCTGAACTACGGAATTCCGGGAGGGTGTAAATCCTTCCCAGAACGAGGCAGAACGTAAGGCAGCGAAGCCAGGTGCCACTTGTCGCCTCATCCCACGTGGACTGTCCGGTGTGTGAACAAAAGCAAAACGAATGGGAACCCCTGAGACTGGAAGTGCCGCAGAGCAGGAGGGACAGGCCTGTTTCTGCTGAGGGCCCCTCAGATGCCCAGAGCAGCTGTCTGGTTGAGCACAGGCACTGTCGTGGGCCGCTCTCACACACAGCAGGTCAGCTTCCCGGTGAGCGGTTGCACCTCCCAGGGCGACCCCCAGTGTCTCCTGCACCTGTCCCGGCCCCACAAGGTGCGGGACCAAGTGGAAGGAGTTAGGCAGATGGCTTTTAGACCTCCTTCGGCGGCCGGCAGCACTGACCAATTCCTGCTGAGGATCACCAGTGAGTGGGCCAAGTGAGCTCACACTGCCTGAGGATACCCCAAATTAGTACGACTTCAATGGCCTTGCAAATCCATTTCAACTTTTTAACCTCTTATCACGGAAAACCTGCAATTAGTCCTAAAGGACAGAAGAAAGCACTGCAAGAAGTAATCTCTTCGTAATCCCTCACAAGTCTCTTAATGGTGGCAGTTCACACAGAGCGACCTTGAATTGCAGCGAGCTGACAGCAGCGGTGTCAGAGAGAAGAATGGGGGTGGGGTGGGGAGCCTCAGACAAGCCAGCAGCCTGGGGACTGCGGCCCCTCGTGGCGGCGCTTCCCAAAGGGCAGAGCATGTTTGCTTTATGCTGAGTCTCTCCTTCTCACGCCGCTGCCCTAGGTTCCTTGGGCCCTGCGGGTGTTCTTATGATCATGTTAAAGAGCTCTTGGAGGGGGCTGGAGAGATGGCTCAGTGGAATAAGCACTTGCCTGGAAAGCACAGGGGCCTGAGTTCAATCCCTGGTTCTGCCAAAAAAAAGAGCTCTTGGAGACAGCCAGGCTTGGATCTAGAACTGCCCCAAACTCACGGGCTCCTGGGAGCCAGCCTGGGGGGGCCGCCCCACCCCGCCCCAGCTCCCCCAGCTCCCCGGAAGTGAGAGTCTGCCTGGGGCTGTGTGCTTCGCCTGCCACATCCTGCCTTGGACCTGCCGACTTCGGATTAAGCAGCGAACCCAAACATCTCCCCTTGGTTCAGGTGGGGGTGCCGGGCATTCTGCTCCAGCAACACGAAGGTGACTGAGACAGAGTATTATTTGCCCGGACAGGGTGAGCGCTATTTTCCAGGTTATAGAGCCCTGTGTGGGTCTCCCAGTCAAGACTGGTTATAATTATAACCATTGGCTGTAATAAAACTTACGTGTGTCAGTTTTTACTTTGAGACAGGCATCCAGCACGAGGTGTGAGTCTGCCCGTTACCCACACCCAGAACCGTGCCAAGCAATGAGGGCGCTAATTCGGTAATCACACCCCATCCCAGCATCCTTCACGCACTCTACAGTGTAATGTTTTTTTGATTTTGTTTTTTGCAGTACCAGGGCTTGAACTCAGGACCTCGTGCTTGCCAGGCAAGTGCTTATTCTACTGACCATTTCCCCAGTCCCCCCTTCACGCACTCTAGATCCAGCATCTCTGCAAAGCCCCACTTGTGACGCACGAGGCTTTGGGGGACGTCAGACACGGCTATACCACTGGATGACCCACAAATTTACTCATGGATGTACAGGAAGAACTCAAAGTAGGGTCTCCAACCGCAGGCCCACGTCCATGGCAACATCACCGAAGGGCAGAAGCATCGCGAGGGTGGTACCAGGCTTGAGCCCTGGTACCAGGGAGTGGGGAGAAAAGGCCACAGACTATACCACCCCGCCCACCGGAGGAGGTGGAGTCAGACTCGCTAGGGAACAGAGAGTAGCCGTGGCTTCCTGGGTGGAAAGGATTCAGGTGGGAGCAGGGGCTCCGGGTGGGAAAGTGAAGGTTTGCGTGACAGTGGGGATGGGAGTCACTCAGGCATAGCCATGTGTGTGGACTCGATTGGCACAGCGAGGATGACACATTTTCTGTCACGTGTGTTTCACAGTTTAAAAAATAACTGAACAGGAACAGAAAATAAAATGTGACGGCAAATGCCCAACTTATTTAGGACAGCATCTAAAATCATGACCATCACGAGGACGGTGCTGGCCCTGCCTTGCCCTTCCCCGCGGCTGCCGGCTCCTACTCGGTGCCAGCAAAGCCGGACTTGCCCCTGAAGCAGAAGCTTGGGCTGGGCTCGGCCTCCCTCGCCCCGGCCCCGCAGGATGCTGTAACCCTCTGCACCCTGTTCTGTGAGGCCACAATGACAGCCTGGGGCGACCGGGCACCCTCGCTGTGCCTCGGGCTGCACCAACCGCAGGGCGGAGGGGCAGAGGGAGCTCCAAGGCACACCCAGGACCTGGCTGCTGCTTCCTGACCCTTCTACGTTCAGAGCATGAGTGAGACACTGGGGTGTAGAAATGAGCTTTCCAGGCGGAATGTGACACTGAGTTAACATGCGGGGCCTGCCCCAGGCCTGCCCTAAGAAAGCAAAGTCACCTTGGGGAGAAGAAGCATGCTCTGTGAAAGGCTGAAGGTGAGGAGGAAGGAAGAGGCCACCCAAGCAGCTGGGTGTGGCTGGGTGTCAGATCTGACGCAAGGGCAAGGACTGCGGGACTGTGTTTACTTGGCATCCCAGACAGCATCCCGTGGAGGCTGCGGGGGGTGGGGGGTGGGGCACATCTGCACAGGCAGTCCTCACTCGTCCTCAGGAAAGCCTACATGTGCGATGGCACAGGTGGCAGGAGGCACTGGTGGGACGCGGCTGCTGGGCCACTTCTCAGAGTCACTCTGTACATGACACTGCAGTGGACTCTGGTGGTGGCTGCGTTCCCCTCGAGGTCCTGGCTGGCAAAGCCCGATGGTCAACCACTGATCTGCTGGGGGCTACGCCTCCCTGTCAGGACAGGCATGGGTTCAGTTCCACCTGGCCCTGGTGACAGTCGCAGTGATCTCAGGAAAGCCCAGAAAGGGGTGGCGATGGAGAGGAGCAGCTCAGGAGACCTCTGCAAGATGGCTCCAGAGGCCTCAGGCTCGCTAAAGACATTAGAGGCCGAAGGGTCACAGCCACATGACAAGAAAAGGCACATGGGCCTTTCCTGAACAGGGGAAATAGATTCAGTCAACTTCAGCAAGATGGTGGGAGCTCACACAGGTGACAGGCCGCAGGACAGGCTTGGGACAGCTAGAAACTGAGAGCCCGGGAGCCACAGCAGGAACACAGATCTAGGGCTCTGTGGGGAGACACCGTTCCTGGACAGGTGGTCCCACTCCTCACTTCTGCTTCTGAGCTCAAGGAGACAGCACCTGTGGTCACTGCTGTCCCGTGTGTGTGCGTGTGTGCGTGTGTGTGTGTGTGTGTGTGAAGGAGTTGCAGCACCTGATGGGGCAAGCGTAAGTTGTTCTATGTATTTACCATGGATGCAGGGCCAGGGATCAAATTCTGACCCTGCACACACACGGCAAACACACTGTGTGGCATGACCCCCACTGCCTGAGAGCTCGAGTGTGGGCCAGCAAGCAAGAGAGAAGGCCCTGTTGTCCTGCTGCCTGCACCAGCAGGCGAGTGCTGCAGGAGTGAAAGGCCACCACTGCCACAAATGCAAGCTGAGAGAAAATGGGAGCTGCAAAGGCGAAGCTATCTGCTGCCTCCTGGAGATAAGACTGGTTTTGAGGTACTTCACAAATCATCCAAGAAAAATAAGGGTTGGGGTGTTGCTCGTAGTAAAGTGGCTGCCCAGCACAGCAAGGCCCTGGCTTGCCCTCCAGCACCCCAAGGAGAGAGAGAGAAGGGGAAAGGATGAAGGGGAGAGGCACAGAAGGCGGGTGCGCTTGGCTTGTGGTCACACACTTCAATTCCAAGTTCCCTGAGCCCCCAAGGACTCCATAAGGAATCTGGGCAGCTCAGACTGGCCGAGGTGCCTGATAAGAAGCACACGGGCGCTGCAGACACGAGGCTGAGGGGCTGCAGGCGTACGGTGACTCCAGAGACACACAGCTGCATGGAGTCAGACGCGGAGAGGTGTGCGACTTCCCCAGGTTGCTAGGACCAGAAATTCCCCCGGAGGCCCACATGCTGGGGTCTCCCATGACCCGCACACAATGCTTGTAATGCTACCATACTCTTTTTTTTTTAGGTACCGGGTGTTGAACTCAGGACCCTGCACTTCCAGGCAAGCACTTATTCTACTGAGCTACCTCCCCGGTCCCCACCATACTCTTGAAGCACCATGCTGACAAATTCTGCCTACAAACTGGAATTTATAAGCAATTTAAGTTATGATTGAGAGGGGCAGTGCCGTACAGGACAGGAGTCCTGGTAGCATCTCAGAGTGGAATGAAGGTGCCAGCGTCTGCTGCCCTCCTCCAGCGGATCCTGGCGAGTGTAGGCTGCCCTGTGCTCCAGGGATGATGTTCTATTCTGTACTTGCAGGGTGCTGCATCTTTACTGGTCCATGAGAGCCAAGAAGATGCTTCCTAGGAAGTTCGAGGGCCCACACGCCCACCGGGCCACCCCTAAGCTTCCCTGGAGAGGGCCGCAGACCCCACTCACGTTCAGGAGGTTGGATTTGCTCCCACACTGGGATTCTGCTTGCTCAGTCTGTGGCCCTTAGCAGATGCGACTTGCTCTGCACCGCCTTCCCGAGGCACTGACTCCTCGGGGTGCAGGTCCCCTGCCATCCCCGGGGAGGGCTGCACTGTGGCACCAGTCTTGGTCGGGGAGTAAAAGCCAACCCCTGGAAACTCGGCATGCTCACCATCTACTGCTCTGCTTTCGTTCCTCAGGGCCAGCTCTGCTGACTCAGGAAGAAAGAAAGGATTTCAGCAGCACGCAAGCGGGTGGCTCTCACCGCCACACGAAGTCCAAGTCAGCATCCCTTTGAGGGATGTGGCTGGGGACAACAGCTCAGCCTATATTTTTAATTACAGAAACAAGATGTACAGCCCATCAATGCCGTGAGCTGGTTCCACGCCAGTTCAACTTTCCCTCTCAGGCCTGGCAGCCTGCACTAAATCTTTCCCAGTTCTCGGTTTCATTTAGTTTCCATTGCCTCAGGAGTTTCTAAAGCGTGCACATTTTCCACACATAATTAAGTAATGGAGAGCGAGCTGTTACACATGATGTTTAGTATTCGGCAGTGAAGAAGCCACGGCAGGAGCTAACAGCACCACTGTTAATCCCTTTGCTTCTAGCACTGTCAGATTTGGCGAGTCCTCCTCTGTCGTGGGAGCAGAGCCCTGTGCTGAGGGTCAGCTCAGAACCCAGCATGTGGCCCCTGACCAGAGCCCAGACTGTGAGGTTACCCAGATGTGCAGGACAATAACGTCCTCTCTGCAATTCTGTGTGTTTACAGATTTACAGGATTGCCCAAAGTCTAATGAAGTGAAAAGAAAAGGAGGGAAGCGAGCACACACGTATCAGCAACTTGATCGTTTGCTCTAGTGACCCCGATTCCTTGCCAATCACAAGTCAATGAGTATGGGAGGGAACACAGGGCCGAAGGAGCAGGACAAGTACACGCTCACATGCGTGTGTCACCACAGACCGGTGGCCCCAGTTAATTAAATTTCCACTTGCAACACATTTTCACAGCTTTCTGAGATTATTGCTCATCATACTCCCAAGCCTGTGGCCAATCTGGTTTTTATTTCAACTGCCAATAAATTTGGAAAAGAGTTGATGAGGTATAAAAGCCGAATATTTCTGAATAATGGACAGGTAAGAATTAATAATTTCAACTAATGAAAGATGTTTTGCTAGGCAGAAGCACTACCTGTAAAGAAATTATAGGGCCAGACAGGTAGCTCATCAGACTGAAGCGCCTGCCTACACAGAGCAGGGGCCAGGGTTCGATCCCCAGTACCATATGCCATGCCACACCCCGGGGCACACTGAGATGGGGACTGAGACTGGGTGTGGTGGTGTGTGCGTGTAATTTCAGCCTTGGGCAGCTGAAAATAGGAGGATCACTATGAGTTCAATCTGTGTAGTGAGCCCTTGAAAACCCTGTACTAAATACATTAAAAAAAAGAAATTATAGTTACAAAGGATACACTATATATATTTGGGTGGAACTGGGGATTGAACTCAAGTCCTTGTGCTTGCCAGGGAAGTGCTTATTCCACTGAGGCATCTCCCCGGCCCCTCCTCTCCTCTTTTATCTGGGTGTTAGGTATGCCTTCCCAGCCACAAGGAGTAACTAGACAGTATTTTATTTTATTTTATTTATTTATTTATTTATTTTTTTTTAGGCAGTATTTTAATAAGAAGTGCATTCAATCTGTAGATCAGCTTTGGTGGCCACTGTAATGTACTAATTCTGCCTGTGCAGGAACAGGATGACTTTCCACTTCATTTTCTCTCCTCTCTTTCTTAGAACTGTAGTTCCTGTCGTAAAGGGCTACACCTCGTGGGTTAGGCTGAGGCCTAGGTATTTACTTTGGTTTCCGGTTACTGTGCATGGAACAGTTCTCCTGATTTCTCGCCCGGTGCATCCACTACATGTGTATGGGATTGCTGTGGATTTCCGGGTTTGCATCTTGCCACTAGGGATTGGCTTAACAGACAGACAACAGGAAGAAATTTTCCTCCTTGGAAATCTGAGTAAAAAACTAGAAACTAACAGAAAGATGCCATAGCTAGAAAGAAAAAGGGTGCCATGGTAGAAGTGCTTGAGAGACACGGCAACAGCAGGTGAGGCAGAAAGGTTGGGGGAGGAAAAATGCAACCGCATTAGTGCCAGGCTGGGTGGCACGGCCTGGTCTGCCGTCTCCGGGCATGGCCGGGTCGCTCTGATGGTGACTGCTGGGAACGGCAGAATCATCTCCATTGCATCCACACCGAAGCTCTCAGCCCCGCGCCATGGTGAAATTGTGCTGATCATTCAAAATTTTGCAAAATCACAAGGAACGAGGACTTTTACTTTCTCTACTCTATAGATGCTGAGGTCTAGAGGGGAAAAGCAGCCCAGCAGTGCGAAACAAACGGGCTCTTTCATCCTCTAACAGTAGTTTAGGGCTGGTGAGATGGCTCAGTGGTCTAAGGCACCTACTTAGAACAAACTAAGCTAAACAAAGCACAGAGACCGCAGTTCAAACCCCCAGCACCACATGCCAGCCAGCCCGCCCCCTGGTGGGCTGAGCTGGCTACACACACAAAATAAATAAATAAATAAATAAATAAATATTTAAAAAACAAAACAAAACAAAACAGTAGTTTAGAGTTACTTGTCATTTCAGTCAACAGAGAACGACCCTGCTCCTCCGGCTACACCCACCCAAGGGACACAGGTCTGCGACTGTGGCCATGCCCAGGTGCCCCGGGGCTCAGCCGCTGAGGGGGGGGGGGGGGGGCACACTGGCGGGGAGCGCTTCTGCCTTTCCTGCCTGCTTCCCTGCTACAGACATCCATGCAAGTGTCCCAAGCAATGGCGGCATCTGTTCCGCTTCTGCACAGCTGACAGTCAGACTGAAACGTGCATGCTGACCTCAGCGACCACACAAAACACACCGGAGAAAACCCACAATCAAAAGGACCTACATTTTCTTCCTGTGGCAGTAAGAAAAAGAAAATCTATTTTTAGACTAGACAGTGACTTTGTTAGACCACCAAAACGGAAGATCCCCAGATCACACCGGAGATGTCAGGACACAGCCCCGCCTGTCTCACCTGATGAACACCAGCTTCACTCTGCCTGGGGCCGCCTTGATGATGGCAGATGCGTTCTGATGGCTTCTCCCGTACAGAATCTGATTGTTTATCTGTTTGGGAAAAAAGAAAACGCACGTGTAAGAATGCAGCCTGCGTATTTACATACAGATATATATGTACATATCTACATGGGTACAGCACCCATGTGGGCACTCAGGAGTGCAACAGGAATATTCACTTCTGCGTGTGCATATGCAGGACTCACTTGTGCTAAAATGGAAGTATTCTCTAGTGCAAACACTAACTCTAAGCTGCCATTAAAAATCTCGCGAACTCAGTCCTTGGCCATTTTGCTTTATGAGAACTAGCTGAACTCAATGCAAAGGCTTTATGGTAAAGACTTTACTTCTTACAGGTTCTCCAGTTTCCCCAAACCTGTGGAGAACAGTCCACGATGCAGAATTCCCTGCTTTGCGGGCCAGGTGACCTGGGCTCTGTACACGGAGCCAAGTTAGCAAGTAGCACAAGTTTGTTACTTGGAGGAGGTGAAAGCAGAATTTCTGTTTGAAGGCAAATTTTAGGTCTGGTGCAGAGAATCACCTTAGGAACACCATCAGTGAGCCCCTTGCTTGTGCCAAGATGTGGCTAGATTTTTAACTTTTTTTTTTTGCGGAACTGGGGATTGAACTCCGACCCTTGCACTTGCTAGGGAAGTGCTTATTCCACTGAGCCATCTCCCCGCCCCTCCCCGCCCTTTTTTTTTTTTTTTCGGATTTTTAACTTGATGTGCTTCAACTAAACATGATGTAACAACATTGGACTGGAGCTTTCCCAGGGCAGGGGTAGCTGGCATCATGCTCCTATGTCACGCAATGACACCAATCTGTGCTGTCCCTGCCTCATGGTGGCCTGGCACTGGGCTCTGTTCCCAGGACAGGTCTGAGCCCTCCAGGAGCAGTGGAGAAAGAGGCTGCCCTGGACATCAGTCCCAATCTGGTTCCGAAACGTTGCACATGAAAGAGCACCCTGTTGTCACCACGGTCATCATGAGCGTGTGTGCGTGCACTTGTGCAGAACAAAAGTCCCGTGTTTCCCCACCTGGAGAGGCCAAGCAGGGTCATGTCCAGCTCTGCAGCCAGTGAGGAAGTAGTGACAGGCGCTGCACCACCCACGCAGGCCACTGACCCACCGACCACACGGAGACCCGTGATGCCACACGTCTTTCCTCAAGGCTCGGTTCCCTCCTTCTGAGATGGAGTTAGGCGCCTGCTTTCTATTTCATTGGAGAGTTTCAGGAGCATTGGTCTTATCTGATGTATCAGAATGTAAGTTTTTGAAGTAGCTTCTTGGATTTTGGTGGCGTTGCCTGAGATGTCACCACTTCCTAATTGCACTGACGTAAGTCTGTCTTCCCTTTTGGCTAAGGGCCGATCCGTTGTCTTTATCTTTCCAAAGAACCAACTCTTTCAATCACCGTTCTTTGGATTTTTTTAGTCTCAATTTCATTAATTCCCATTCTGATCTTTATTATTTCTTTCCTTCTATAATTTAAGATTTGGGTTGCTCCTCTTCTGGGGCCTTGAAGGGCATCATGAGGCTGTTTATGTGGAATCACGGCGCTCTTCACGTTGGCACTCGTAGCTGTAACTTCCCTCTTAGAGCTGTTGTCATCGTGCCTGCCAGGTTGGCCTGTGGTACTTCCACTGTCACCTGATTCTAGGGGCTGTAGTTTTTCTTCTCTGCTTTCTTCTGTGCTCCACTGGTTATTCAGCAATGTGTCATTTAATCATCAAGTGTCTGCAAGTCTTATTTAATATAAAATAATTTCACTACTGAGATGAAACACAGGTAGCTTTCAACTCTCTGGGCAGTTTTCTATTTCCTGACCCCTAAGCAAAACATATTCCAGAGAAAATGCAGCAAATAAACAGGACTATGAATCATTTTATGCACAATCCAGGAGGCCACACCTCCCTGAGTCCATGCGCTATTTGTGATCAGCAGCAGCCACTGTTTACCGAGGACTTGGCCTGTGTGATACTTGGCCAATGTCCTCCCCAACAGTGCCTCATTTAAACCTCAGCACACACACAGAAAGAAAAGCTGATCCGATTTGACTTGAAACTGTCTCATTGCTGTTTATCAATAAAATTTTGGAAAAAAAATTTGTGAACTCCTTAGGGTAGCAATTTTCTCTTTATGGATTACATGCTTATAAAATATTACCCATAATTTTCATATTCACATTATGAATATGCATGGCTAAAAACACTTTTTGCTACTGTATCTTCTATATAATAAAGTTTTAAACAAGAAAAAAAAAAAAAGAAAAGCTGGGCATGGTGTTGGTGCATACCTGTAACTCCAACACTCAGGAGGCTGAGGCAGGAGGATTGTTGTGAGTCCAAGACCAGCCTGAGCTACGAAGTGAGCTCAAGGCCAACCTGAACTGCATAGTGAGACCCTGTCTCAAAAAGACCATCAATCAGTCACTCAATCTGAGCATAACCTGGGCATCATTTACTGACTAGATTATGAAACTGACTCTGAGGCTGAATCATTCGCCCAAGGTGAAGTGGCTACCTGCTCACGTTTTCTAAGAAGGGTCTTACTATGTAGTGCAGGCTGGCCTTGAACTCACCATGCGGCCCAGCTGGGCCTCATGTTCATGGTGCTCCTCCCGTCTCAGCCTCCTGAGTGCTGGGATTATGGTTGCGCACTGCCACACTCAGCTAGCAGCCACTTTAAGGAGAAATCTGTCATCTTGGGGCACACCCACTGGTAACTATATGGTTTCCTTAAAAAGTAACATCACATGATTTCTAAAGGGGGTCTTTATGAACATGGCTATTCCATAAACTCTGAGTGAGAACAGAACATGCTGGCGTGGCTACCCGAGGCCATCCATGGCTGAGTCCACGGAGGAGATGCTCAGTACTGACTGATACAGTTTTTAGGGTCCCAGAGTAATGCAGAGTCCCACACACCACATTCTCTTCTTCGTGCAAATGAGCTGCACCCTGAACCATAATGGACCCTCATGAATTTTTTACTGTAGAAATAAACATAGATCAACCATATTTTAGCCTTTGTGGCCAAAGGAAAACCACTAACGTTTTTCATTGTGGGCAAATTCTTGCTACAAGCGAACAAGTGGCCACTTGGACTCTGTAGACCCTGGAAAGGCTACAGTTTGTTCACTTTCAGCACACTAAGGAGCAGGAAGCAGAAAAACAGCACTCTCCCCACATTTCTCCTATCCAAGGTGACTCAGTGACATAACGCAAACACGCAGGCGTGTCTTTTTTTTTTAAAATGTATTTTAGTACAGGGTCTACAGGGTCTCACTACACGGATCGGACTCGTAGTGATCCTCCTGTTTTCAGTCTCCCAAGTGCTGGGATTACATGCGCAGGCCACCACACCCGGTTTTAGTCACCACCTCAACGTGCCCTGGGGATTGAACCCTGGCTGCTGCGCTCTGCCTAAGCAGGCACTTTAGTCTACTGAGCTATCTGGTCAGCCCTTGAAAGGTGAAACAGTTTTTATTACTACTTTTTGGCTCTGGGAACTGAACTCATGACCTTGTACTTGCCAGGCGGCACTTTGTCGCCGAGCTATATCCCTGGCCTTACATCCTCATCTTTGATGTGACCCCACAGTGCTGAGAGGTGTTCCCCTCAGCCCTGGGGTGCTGCTTCCCCACACACTCAGATGATGACCTGTCATCAGGACCAGACGCACAACTCTCATCCCAGCGTGACCATGGGCCCTTATCTTCCACACAGTCCTGTCTGGATAAACTCTGCATGGCCAACTGTACTTCTACCCACATCTATCCTGCCCTGCATGTGAGCTGTCCTGCAATCCCCCTGCTACCGGAAGGAGAAAGCCCAAGCAAAAGGAGAGGTGCAGGGACTGCGGGGGCCTCGACTGCTAGAAGCTGCTTCTGACTCCGGGGCAAGCATGGTGCCCCCAACCCTCTTTGCAAACAGCTGTGTGCCACAGCCAGGGGCATGTGACTTGGGCTGGGGCTTTGTGTCAGAGCTGAGACCCCGGGAACCATTTTCCCATGCTCGCTGTGTGACACAGGACAGCCTGTGTGTGCCATGCGGAGGCAAGGACAGGAGTTGGCATTCTGAGTCCCAGGTGCAGCCTCCTCTGCATCCCCGGGGTGGGGGGATCATGCAGCTCCCGATGAGCTGTCCGTCTTCTGACTAAGAGTGCGTGTGCCTGTCCCTGCCTTTGCTGAAGGCCAGTCCAGGAAAGTGAAGTGCTGAGGCAGGACCAGCAGTGAAGCCCAAGGGCTGATGTCCTCAGTGTTCACACCACTGCTGCCGGAGGTCACAGCAGGAGGGATGCCATCTGTAAGCCCGAAAGGGCCTTGATGGAAGCAGACAGCAACAGCCAGGCTTGAGAGAAGCACACACCCGTGCGCAGCGGCCTGCTGAGGGCACTCCTGGCAGCCCACCCTGTACATTTTGCTCCTTCAGGCGCGGGGTCTCCACAGACACAGCTCGAGGCCCTTCTGGCTCTAAGTGCTGATTTACACGGGGGACACCTCCCGGGCTCCTCAGGCTCTGAGAACTTAGCTCGGAGCCCAGAGGAGCAAAAGGAAGCAAAGGGAAGAGCGGCTCTGCCCTGGGGCCTCTTAAGCTTGTGATCTCACGTCTGGTTTTCTTTCTTTCTTTCCTTTTTTAAAATTAATTTCATTGAGAAAGAAATAGTAATGAGACAGTTTCAAAACAGGTTATGCATTGCATATTGTTGTGTTTGTAGTAGTTATTCAGAGTACAAGATGCAAACATGATATCTTGTCTGAACACTATTAGTACAAACCTTTCTTCTCATTGAGCTAAGAGAAAGTAGCTGTATATTCATCCTAATATATATATATATATAATATAAATTTTTTTCACTACAAAAGGTCCTTCATTTATACCACCCTTTTTTGTTTACTTTTGTCAGAGATGGGTATTCCATTGCCAACAGGCTCAAGTCAAGTCTGGTTTTCTCAGCTGATGTTGGCTTTCTCGTCTGCTTCCTGACAAGAGCCTCCTGAGAGCCTGGTCAGTGACAGCAAATGTGCTAGAGATGAGCGCTCAAACTG